TATTGACAAAAAATATATCTCAATATTTTCTGAGATTTTATCAATAACAATAATTAGACGATATTTTGATGAGTGTGTTATTGTGCTGATATCTTAAGGACTACCGTGGACAGCTGACTCCTAAAGTTTTTGATATTCTGCATATTCTGTGTGGTAATCAGTTCACAGCAGTAATAGAAATTAATCTTTTCCAATAAGTTTAAATTAATTTTTTTTACCTTTTATGGGCATTTTTACCTTTATAAAGCCCTTTTCTCTAAAAGTGTGCATCATCTTTTCAGTCAAATTCTTAAATTGAATCAGTCAATTAGAATAATAAGTCATTTGGGCTGTTACCAAGCAAATGAAATCAGTACTGACAAAATTAACCTTTGCAATGCAGAGGAAACACAGAAGCTGCAGCTGATGTGGCATTTAGATGCATTTACACAGTTTAATGCAGGACAGGAATGATCGTCTTCAAATGCGCGTTCCTGTGACAGGGATGCTTTTCACGGCAAGGGTGCTTTTTTCGGCACAACACCGGGACAGGGCATCTCAATATGGCAAGGGGCGTAACATTTCCGTCACACACTTGAGGTATTCGGCCAGTCACAACGCACTGGATAGCTGGCCAATCACTGCACACCTCGCTTTTCAGACAGATGAGCTTTGTAAAAATCTCATAGAGGAGAAACAATAATGTACAGTATGTGGAAAATAATGTGTTTTTTTAACCTTAAACTGCATAAACATTTCATTACACCAAATACACAAAATAATGTTATTTTTAGCAACATCATATGACCCCTTTAACATTAAAAAATAGCTTACAATTTAAAGTAATTACACGCTTCAGTTTTTAATTCTAAATGAATGTTTATTTTTCATAAATGATTTTTAATACGTCTATCAATCAAAAGTCAAGTCACATTTATTTATATAGTGTTTTAATACAATAATTGTCTCAAAACAGCTTCACGTTAATAAACAGGAAAATAACAGTGTTAATGTAAAAATCACCACTTATGAAACAAATTAAATTTAAGCTGCAAAGTAGCTCTACAGAAGATAATAGTGTGATTATTATTCAGCTCAATTTAGTTCAGTGTTGTTTCAATGCAGTTCAATAACTGGTCAATGATCAGCAATCATGAAATGAGTTTAATTCAGCTATAAGCAGCTCTACAGAAGGCAGTTGTGTCATTATTTAGCTCAAGTCAGTTCAAATTTTGTTCTCAGTGCCATTAAATTGAAAATATTACTGAAAATTAATTATCTTTTAAACCAATAAATCACTCTGACTCTACCCACACGATAAATTGCTTTGAAACTGAATATCTGTCCTATTTCCGCATTAAGAAGGTTGACCTGACCATCTGCATTTGCACTTCAAAGTATTGCAGTTTAAATTCTGCTTCCACTTGCTCCAGCGCACTTATAAAAAGAAAGCAGAATCCGCCCCCTCCCTTTCCTATGAAGCGCTGTTGGCTCAAGCTATGCACACAGGATAACCATTAACATTTTACAGCAGCCGTACACAAATACACATGGATGCTCTCCAATCTATTTCAAGCCCATCAAATGGCCTTTTAACGACCACCTGGTTGTCTGCGTAAAAAGATTCTTATGTTTTTATTTAGAGCAGTTATTAAGCTTCCAGGTTGTTCTATATGTTCAGAGTATGAGGGCAAAAGTTAATCGTGAAGTATTAAAATAGATGTACAACTTATTCAAGTAATACAAGATTTAATAATAACAATAAACATTGAAGTAAATCAGTTCATTTAGTTCAAGTGTTCGACTAGTTGGTACTCAGCTCTTGTGGATCTCTGCTAAATGTCTGTGTTTTGTATCATTTCTGTGACTGTGTGTAGACTACACTTGAACACGCCCGTCCTGAAGAACCCAGCTGGGATGAGGATTTTGCGAGTGTTTATCATGAACTGATCCACTCCCCGGCCTCAGAGACTCTTCTCAACCTGGAGCACAGTTACTTTGTCAGTGTTTCTGAGCTCATCAGCGAGAGAGACATGGAGCTCAAGAAACTTCAGGAGAGGTTTGTTTGGAAGGGCGTTATGAAATCGAATTCTGTTTTATGAGGAAAAATGTCAGGGAGTGTAATTTGGATAATGAGCTCCCAACATAAATGCAGAATGTGACCATACTGAGTAATTAGTAGGTATAAAGGTCAGAAATAATATGTTTTGCTTAATTGCAAATTGTTGCAGATTGAGTACTTTTATTTGGTTATGTTTTTTTATTTTATAGCAATTAGCAAATGATGTTACACATGTTACATTACTATGAAATTATTATATTTTTAATATATACACTACAGTTCCAAAGTGATAGTCAGTTAGATTTTTTTATGTTTATTATGGTTTATTATGGTCACCATGATTGCATTTACTTGATCAAAAATACAGTAAAAATTGTTTTCTATGGTAAAAACTGTTTTCTATTTCAGTGCATTTTAAAATTGTATTTATTCCTGTGATTCTAAATTATTCTAATATGCTGATTTGCTGCTCAAGACAAATGTCTTATTATTATCAAACAGTTGTGCAGCTCAGTATTGATGCATGAGACATTTTTCAGATAAATTAGATTATATTAAATTAGATCAATTCTATTTAAAGAACTTTTTTAACATTATAAATGTCTTTGCTGTCACTTTTGAACAATTGGATGCATCTTTGCTGAATAACGGTATTAATTTCATTTTAAAAGGAATTATATAGTGATGGATGTTAAATAAATAAGAGTTATCAAACATTTAAGCTTCTTCATGAGAAACATATCAAAAACTTTTGACTTTTACTATAAAAGCATATGAAATTTGTCCTTACAGGCAGGCTGTTGAGATGGCCAAAGTGATGCAGGAGCTGGGAAAGACCTTGTGTGACCAGGATGTGAATATCGTGGCTGCCCAACACTTTGATGCACAGCAAGTAAGACCAATCCGACAGTCAGATTGAAACTAACAATAATAATATAGAACATATTAATGACTCCTGACTCTCTTTTTGTTTTTTTTTAATGGGAAGGTGCTGGAGAACAAGTGGGCCAGTGAACTGAAGCAAGTCGCAGATATCCAGAAACAAGAGTATCAGGAATGGGTGATGAAGCTCCACCGCGACCTACAGAACCCCAACAACAGTACAATAAAGTGAGTGAAAAAGAACGTTTTAAAGATACTGATGGAATCGAGTTGATAAATGATTGTGCTGGGAAGTGAATAGTTGTGGGAATTGACACAGAGGAGCAGAATGTAACATCCTCAAAGATACTGACTCAGATATTCCTCTGGTTATGATCAAGCTGCAACCTCCCGCTCTCTCTTGTGAAGCCAATGAGGAAGTGACTTAAACTGTAATTCATCAACTGGCCGCTAGAGGCTGGCTGCAAAAGGGAGTCAATCCCATAGACCTCCCATGTTAAAATGCGCAACTTTACAGCAGAAAAAAACGTTTACAGCTTGGTTCAAAAAATGATGTTGGTCTATATAGCTAATTTTGCCCTTCATGACAACTGTGAGAGGGGTGAATTTTTTAACTCATCCGTTCAAATTATATTAAGCCTTAAAGTTCTGCATAATTAAGGGCGTGGCCACTTGAGTGACAGGTGGATTGCCGCTGCTGTCACCACCATCGAGCTAGGTGGGCGTGGTTTCAGCAAGCTGCTCCCGCCTCTTTGCCCATTTTCGATTATCCGGGAGTGACGCACGGTGACACGCTGTCAAGATGGTGACGGCCCGCTCCGCCCACTTTGAGCTTCAAAAACGCTCTTCGGAAATCTACGGGTGACATCATGGACACTACGTCCATGTTTTTATACAGTCTATGGTTATAACTCAAGAAATCCTGTCTTAGCAATTTCATTCAGTTTCATTCAGATATGAATGTTCTTGCCACCACGTTAGATGCAGTTTCAGTTCTGATTACATTTTACGACATCCCCGCTTTGACACATTGACATGAGTGAATAGTGTTACACTTGAACCAATGGCAAAACAACTGTATTTATCATTGTGATTGATGGATGCCGAAGAGCTTCGGAAGTTGAGCCTGTTATTTGTGTTTCAGCGAGGAGATCAAGGTGCAGCCCGGTCAGCTGGGGGAGGCAGGGGAAGCAGGGGCCCGTCTCTTCGAGGAGCAGCAACAGCTGGAGGAGAGCTTCACCATCCACTTAGGTATGGCGTTTCCTTGGAAACATTGGCTGCTACAAAACGATGCATAAAAATACCCGCATATGACAAACTGCCATGGTAATTTGCGCCCACTTCCAATGTGTTTTCAATCTGTTTTGTGTATGTAGTAGACATGTTCCACTAATGTTTGGCAACCAGAAACCAATCTCAATTTTAAACCTCATTTTGTGAAATTTTTTGCTTGGATATTTTTTATGCTAAGGTTTGATAGTTTATTATAGTACAATGACATTCATACGTTTTAGTAGTGGCTTAAAGGAACATTCCACTATGTTTGAAAATAGGCTCATTTTCCAACTCCCCTAGAGTTAAACAGTTGAGTTTTACTGTTTTCTAATCCATTCAGCTGATCTCCGGGTCTGGTGGTAGGACTTTTAGCTGCAGCTTAGCATAGATCATTGAATCTGATTAGACCGTTAGCATCTCGCTCAAAAATGACCAAAAATTTTCGATATTTTTCCTATTAAAACTTGACTCTTCTGTAGTTACATCGTGTACTAAGACCGACGGAAAATGAAAAGTAGAGATTTTCTAGGCCGATATGGCTAGGAACTATACTCTCATTCTGGCGTAATAATCAAGGAACTTTGCTGCCGTACCATGGGTGCAGCAGGCGCAATGATATTACGCAGAGCCTGAAAATAGGCTAACTTCCGTCAACATAACCAACGTGACCACCTGCTTGCACAGGGAGCGTGCTGGGGACTATTTTCAGGGACTATTTCGCAACTTTTCATTTCCCGTCGGTCTAAAAGTACTACCGCCAGACCCGGAGATCGGCTGAATGGATTCTAAAACGGTAAAACTCAACTGTTTAACTCTAAGGGAGTTGGAAAATGAGCCTATTTTCAAAAATAGTGCAGTGTTCCTTTAAGGGTCCCAATATTTTTGGGTCCACCCTACATAAATTTGTGTAATAACTATTCTGTGTAATAACATAAGCTCATAATACAAATTGAAAAATCCATATAATTTTAGCTAAATAAATATTTTTTTAAATATTAAAAAAATAATAATATTTTAGTTTAACTAAAAACTTAAATAAATCATTTTAAATATGTGCATGTATGCATTACAACATTATACTGGACAATATAAGTAATGGACAATAATTTTGCGAATTTGCTAAAGATTGCATTTAAAAGTATTATTAAACTTAGTATAAATACACATTGACTAAGAGGTTTACTAAGTGTATGTTAGATGACAACAAAGGTAATCTAAATGTAAAAATAAAGACAAATTCACAAATAAAATATCCAATAATGACTACAGTACCATTCAAAAGTCAGGGGTCAGTGCATTTTTTTTTTTAGAAATGAATACTTGTATTCAGCAAGGACATATTAAATTGATCAAAATGGTCATTAAAGACAATGCTGTAAGTTTCAGATTTCAGCTCATCAAAAAAAAATGTTTTGTGATTTCCACAAAAATTTTAAGCAGCTTTTTTAATTATTGGTAATAGTAAGAAATATTTCTAGATCACCAGAGCAGCATATTAGAATGATTTAAGTAATGATGCTAAAAATTCAGCTTTGCATCACAGGAATAAATTACATTTTAATATGAATATATTAAATATTAAAATAGGAAACAGTTCATTTAAACTATAATAATATTTTACAAATATTGCTATTTTACTACATTTTTAATCAAATAAAAGGTAGCCTTTTATTTGAGAGGCATAAGAAGCCTCTATCAAAAACATTTGTAAAAATCTTACAGCGACCAAACCTTTGAAAGGTAGTGTATATTGTATATTTAATTGCATCAAACCATATATCATTTTTAAATAAACAAAATATAATGAATAAAAATAGATCTAGCTGTTTGATATACTTGTCTTTAAGGGGCTCAGCTGAAGACCATGCACAATCTACGTCTGCTGCGATCTGATGTTCTGGACTTTTGTAAGCACCGCCGTCACAGCAGCAGCGGGGTGAAGTTACGGCGACTACAGACCGCTCTCTCGCTGTACTCCACATCACTTTGCGGCCTGGTGCTGCTGGTCGACAACAGAGTCAACTCGTACAGCGGCATCAAGAGAGGTATCATATCTAATTTGTAGCGTTTCATTGCAACGATCAACAGAAGTCAAAATCTAAAAGATTTTGCAACTAATATAAACAACAGTAACATTTCCCATTGTTCTTATGGCATCAGACTTTGCAACAGTGTCTCAGGAGTGCACAGATTTCCACTTCCCCAGAGTGGATGAGCAGCTGGACATCATCCAGCAGGTGGTGCTGTACGCACGAGCTCAGCGCAGCAGCAAGCAGAGAGAGCAGCCCGGTGAGTGACACAACAACTGTGTGTGTTTGTGTCCGTCCAAAACCAGCACCTCTGCATTGCACCATCACATATCTGACTTCAATCCTACCGCGAGGAAGTGTTCTGTTTCATTCGACAGGGACTAGCTACAATGAAAAGCGATACACATTTTTTCAACATGCACAAATGTTTTGGCGGAAAGTGAAATGCTCTGGTACAGTTTTGCTTTTTGCTAACTGTTTGTAATAACTGTTATATATCTAATGAACACTGTTACATAACTTTGAGAACACATTACCATAATATTATCTTTTAGAGTTTTTAAAAAGTGATTTCCAGTTAAATGAACCACTGAGATTCAGATTTTACATTTATTGTTTTATTGATTTTACATTTATTGTTTTATAGATTGTCACATTATTACTGTTTTTTTTACTGTATTTTTGATCAAATAAATGCAGCCTTAGTTATTTTTTTTAATGTTTTTGAAAGACATCTGGAGATATTTATCTGACACCAAAATAAGAAGTAAATAATATTAAATAATTTTTTGGGGGGAAAAAACTGTTAAGATTTGTTTTTTATTAATTTATATATTTCTTTATATATTTCATTTATTTTTAAGCAAATCCTCCCACCCTAGTTAACAGCTGCCTGTTTTTCTTACTAAAATGTAAGTTTTTTTTTAAATCGTTAATTAAATTCATTATTTTATTTTTATTCATTATTCAAATTTTTTTGTAGAAAATTTGCTTTTTTTTAATATATGACAGTTAAGCACATTTTCCTCCTTAATTCAATTACTATAATGCCAATAAAAATGATATATTATTTAAATTGTAAAATAAGTTTTTATATACATTTTTATATATTTTATTATTGTGTACTTGTTGCACTGACGTGCTGATTTGAATAAAAAAATGTGTCCAGACAGTAATAAATCTAATGTCAGTCTTTGTGGAAAATAATCATAAATACAAACTTAAAAGTGAAGTATAACATATTTGAATGTATTACACTAATACACTTCTTTAATTTGTTTTATAGAGATGCCAAGAAATGGAGGAAGTGAAGACAAAAATAAGATCATGGACAGAAATTCCTCCAATATCCTCCCAGGTAATTTAAACATTGTCTCATGCTTTTAGCGCTCTGTTGGATTAGTCGTAACACTGGAGGATGCTGTGCTCTCTTTCTCTTCAGGTGAATTCTACATCACACGCCATTCAAACCTGTCTGAGGTTCATATTGTGTTCCACCTCTGTGTGGATGATAATGTGCGTTCGGGAAACATCTCAGCCCGGGACCCAGCCATCATGGGCCTGAGGAACATCTTGAAGGTCTGCTGCACCCATGACATCACCACCATCACCATCCCACTGCTGCTGGTGCATGACATGTCAGAGGTAAGAGTAGATGCATGATCTTTCATTTTTATTGCTAAACTGTTTTGTATACATTTACAAACAGTGATTTATGTTAACATTTAAAAAATTTTAGCATCTGTGAAGGAAATCATGGGATTGTTTCAAGGTGTAAAGTCCTGAAAGTGTCCACATTCTGAGCTTTTGAGTTGGTACACACAATGTTGATCTGTAAAAATGGTAGTTGAGGACATTGCCAATATTGTAGGGTGTTCAAAAACCCAACCGAGCCTCAACTTTCTATTACTGGAATCTATAACAATCTACATTCTAAGGGTGTTCCAGAGCTTTCGTCTGCCAACTACCATCATTTAAATGTTTTTTTTTTGTGGGAATTGTTGAGGATTTGGCCTTTACATTGGCATCTAGTTCTAGCACAGGCAAACAAACAGCCAAACAAAACATTCCAGTTCCAGCTTAACCACCTGCGTCATGCTACATATCATCTGATATATTTGCTCTCAAGAAACAAAAGGCATTTTTATTCACTTGTGGTGCGTGTTTCTATTATTCAGTATGCATTTCTATAATCCTTGAAAATATTGCATCATTGTGCACACTTAATTACTGTAAGTTATTAACAAGCCAAAGCATGTGATCTGGCGTGCATTGATGTGCGGCAAATGAAAAGGACATGCTTTCTCTTAGAAACAATTCTGTATTACTTTGTGCTAAAATGAATTAATATAAAGAAAGAATCTTTTTAAATGCTAGAGTATATTTAGGCATTACGACTTTATCATTTAGTTAAAAATGGATATTCACTTTGAGATGTAAGTGTTATTAAATTATTAGTGATCTTAAAGAATAATCTTAAGTGAGCGTAACATGACATTAAAGGTAATTTTAATAAAAACAGGAAAAGAGCATATGCAATTAAATATCTAATATCTGCCAGTATATAACCAGCGTTTGACATATAAATGAAATAATGGACTATAACCAATATTTTGTGTCCTGATTAAATTCAACTCTTTAACTTTAGGATCAAGCCAGATTAATTTGTCTTTTTTAACTTGGATGCTCAACCTCAAAACTCAGTCGTCTAATTTAGAAATGGTCTATTTTGAATCAGGCTGTCTGGACTGACCAGTTGTGGGTAAATGAAAGCCTCAATCACAGCCTCTCTGGCCACAGGCCGATGTTGAGGAATGTTCAGTTTTCAGGAAATGTTTTTCCATCTGAACAGGAACTGTGTGTTCTCCCAGCCAAAGGCCAAGGATGGTTTTAAAGCTGAGGTCTTAAGCTCGATTCGGACAGGATTCGTTTTAGGATGTATGTCTGTAAAATAATTGTTACTGTGGAAGTCTGTAGAAAACGGCAAGATTAGTTTGGCTGCTGCATTTATACATTTCTGTTACACATAAATGAGCCATCACAAAATTATATTTATCTATGGTGTTTAACTAGGAAATATTAAATATATGGCTTTATTAGGAGTGAATTAATTCAAATTCTGTATTACTTTGTGCTAAAATGAATTAATATAAAGAAAGAATCTTTTTAAATGCTAGAGTATATTTAGGCATTACGACTTTATCATTTAGTTAAAAATGGATATTCACTTTGAGATGTAAGTGTTATTAAATTATTAGTGATCTTAAAGAATAATCTTAAGTGAGCGTAACATGACATTAAAGGTAATTTTAATAAAAACAGGAAAAGAGCATATGCAATTAAATATCTAATATCTGCCAGTATATAACCAGCGTTTGACATATAAATGAAATAATGGACTATAACCAATATTTTGTGTCCTGATTAAATTCAACTCTTTAACTTTAGGATCAAGCCAGATTAATTTGTCTTTTTTAACTTGGATGCTCAACCTCAAAACTCAGTCGTCTAATTTAGAAATGGTCTATTTTGAATCAGGCTGTCTGGACTGACCAGTTGTGGGTAAATGAAAGCCTCAATCACAGCCTCTCTGGCCACAGGCCGATGTTGAGGAATGTTCAGTTTTCAGGAAATGTTTTTCCATCTGAACAGGAACTGTGTGTTCTCCCAGCCAAAGGCCAAGGATGGTTTTAAAGCTGAGGTCTTAAGCTCGATTCGGACAGGATTCGTTTTAGGATGTATGTCTGTAAAATAATTGTTACTGTGGAAGTCTGTAGAAAACAGCAAGATTAGTTTGGCTGCTGCATTTATACATTTCTGTTACACATAAATGAGCCATCACAAAATTATATTTATCTATGGTGTTTAACTAGGAAATATTAAATATATGGCTTTATTAGGAGTGAATTAATTCAATTTTTTTATGTAAGTATCATGTCGTTTTAAGAACAAAGTGAAATTTATTGGAGATCTGAATAGTCCTGCATGAGAAGTTGTAGTTCTTCACTTTGTGCAAATGTTACTCAACAAGGAGTGGTTTGGTATGTTTGAAACCTGGTTACCCACATGGTTAAATATTATCTCAGTCACTGACTTTCTTTTCTCTCATTTCCTCGTCTGTACAGGAGATGACCATTCCCTGGTGTCTGAAACGAGCTGAGCTGGTCTTCAAGTGTGTGAAAGGTGTGCAAGCAAAGATCTCAAATGTACAAAACCTGTCATTGATTATCAGTATATTATATCATTATATCAAATTTGTTTACATTCTGCTTTTTATTCTCCTTAATGTTGATTTTAAGTGCATTGGATTATATTTGAGGAACTTATTAGATCTAATACTGGGTTATAAAATATTTTTAGTAAAAATAAAAAACATGCCTATCCTGGTTGGTTGGTCATGTAAAACAAGCCTTAATGTGAATATTTTTCCCTACTAGTAAAAGTTCAACTCTTTAGAGGAAAAAGCATATAACAAATAAGAAAATAGAGAGATAAAATTTAAATTATATTATTTACTTTATAAGGTCAGTATGTGTAGTTAATCCAGGGGCGCCGCTAAGGGGGGGGAAGTTAGGACGATTCTAAGGGCGCACGCACTTTTGGGGCCCCCAGAGATCTGTTTTATTAGTAGTAACAGTAGTAGTAGTAATGTAATAGAAATGATAAATGTATCTACCAAAGAGTTACAAATATAACAAAATTACGGCTTATTTCTGCATTTCCAGCAAAATTATCTTCCCCCATTCACTGCATGGTTTCGTCCCATCTTACGTAGCCTAGAGTCACTGAGTGAGATCAGATGGTGAACTGTCAAATTAGAGATGTCTTCGAGTTCGAGGGGGGGCAAACCGAGCCGGACAATTTGGTCAGTCGCACTTTTAAACACATTTTAGTTTTGCTATAGAAAATCTACAAATTCATACTCTGATTACATAGAGCAGCAGCAGGAAGCGTGTGAGGTTGTCATGGCAACCAGATACACTGCATGCGAATTATTATTTAATTATTTTGCCAACGTTTGCCACACTAAACTTAGCAATAAACACGTTTGAAAATAATACACAGTGAACATGTCTGTCAAAATCAAAGGAGGCTTTTATTAAGCAAATCAAGGAGTGAATTACTCATCCACTGTTTAAAAAAAAATACTTTAGCTGGGTTTCCACAGGCAGGGTCACAATTATCTACAGTGTATGAAGCTAAAGGTTTTTGGGTTAAGGTTCATAATGTAGAAAATTTTTAACATTGTATGCTGTATGTGCATAGCTGGCTAGCAAACAAGGAATACAGCTAATAGTCACATTTAGCTGAGTAAGATCATGATTGAGAAATGTTGGATACTGCTGGAAATGCTGCTATGGTGAATCCTATTTATGATTTTAGTATTTTTTTTGTTTGCCCCAGTGAAGCATTTCTATTAATATAACTGATTAAGTAGTCAGACTCATTCCATATCAGCAGAATAGTGTGGTACAGGAAGTCTATGGCCATAAAACAAAGTTCTGAATGAATTATGTTACTGATACCTAATGGTCAAAAGCAATAGCAAAAGTAATAGGTCAATATTATTAAATTGCAGAAAAAGATTTTTAATAGCTAGGCTGGCTTGTACACTATATTGCCAAAAGTATTTGTGAACAGGTTTCTGATGAACCTTCTCTTCTAATGAACAGGTTTGACTACTTTAGTCATTTCAAATTTTTAGTAAAAAAAAAAAAGCATATAATGCTATTCTAGGGAATTGTGTGCTTCTAATTTTATACCAATAGTTTGAACAGGACCATTTTCTATTCTAACAAAACAATGCCTCTGTGTATAAGGCAAGGTAAAAAAAATAAGAAAAAAAGATTGATTCAGTCAGTGTGGAAGAACTTGACTGGTCTGCAGAAAGCCAAGTCCTAATCCCAGCTGAACACCTCTGGTGTGACTTTAAATGCAGACCTTGCGCCAAAAACTCATCACCAAACACCTGTGACTTGTGCATACATATGGACAAATGTATTGGGACACACCCTTCTTTAGAACAGAAAAGGGCACTTCCAAAACTGTGGCATCAAAAATGGAAACATAATTCATGTATTTAAAATTTGTATTTCCTTTGTTGCCACAGTTTTGGAAGTGTCAAATGATTGTACGCATATTATTTGTATATTTGGTGCGGTAGGGGGCCCAACCTCATATTCTTTCATAGGGCCCAAAATTGTTAGCGGCGCCCCTGAGTTAATCAGTTTTGTCCAGTATTGTTCGCATCTACATGCCTACCATTTCAAATAAGTCATTTTCTCCATCATCTCAAATCATGTAATGTTTAGAATACAAGAATTTAAATCTTCTTGGGCTTTTCCAGGTTTTATGATGGAAATGGCCTCCTGGGATGGAGGAATCTCACGGACTGTCCAGTTCCTTGTTCCACAGGTACGTTTTAGCCTCACGGACAGTACAACAATGTTTTTTTTTTTCAATCTAATAAGTGACTGTTCAGGAAATGCATGCAATTTGCAAAGGCAATGGATTCAATTAAATTATAATTCAGTCTGTATTTTCAAACAATAGTATCCATCGTTTGACACATGCTTATATGCTCAGGGGACTCTTCACATTCACAGCTGCTTGTTTTACTCTTTAGCACCTTTTAAAATAACTCCCCTAAACTCCTGTCTAGATGTCGCACACACTGTATACTTACACTGTGTATGTATACTCTACTGTTTTGGTTAGTAAAAATATAGTAAAACAGTAATATTGTGGAAATAACATTGCGATTTAAAATGACTGTTTTCTATGTTTTAAAGATTGATGCAAAGCTGAATTTTCAGCATCATTACTCAGTGTCACATGATCCTTCAGAATTGCTGCTAAAGAAACATGTATTATTATCTATGGTGAAAACAGTTGTGCTGCTTAATATTAGAATAGAAATAGAAACCGTGATCCATTTTGATGAATAGAAAGTTCAAAAGAACAGCCTTTATTTGAATCAGATTTTTTTCTGACAATGTAAAAGTATTTACTGTCAGTTTTGATCAGTTTAATTGCAAAATAACATACTTTTTGAATAATAGCGTATTTGCTTAATTTGTTTTATTTACTAACAAAGTGAAATTGTTTTAAGAATGTGGCATCAATCTGTCTTTCTGATTTTCTTTTATCATTAGAGTATCTCAGAGGAGATGTTCTACCAGCTGAGCAACATGCTGCCTCAGATCTTCAGAGTCTCCTCGACGCTCACGTTAACGTCAAAACGCTAAACAAGCCACACACAGACACATCAGCCCTTGTAGCTGGCAATATGGAGGACATCTTGTCACTTTAGGTTCTTAGTTTTCAGAGAAGTACAAACCGTAAGCTGTTTTGATATGCACTGACATGTGATCCTGTCACAGGAGGCTTAGCACCATGTCCTGATTATTTCAGTCATGAATTTTCACTGGAATTCACAGATTTGTACATTCCACATCAAAAAACGCATTAAATATGAGAGGGAAGTGTTCAGAGTTTTAGCTCTTGTCATACTGTGAGTGCTGTTTACCTAACGCTGCATGGGAAACAGGTAATGCCAAGACAAGCTGTGTGTTTGTGCGGCATTGCAGTCAAACCACCTTTGGCCCCTGGTGTCATCGGTCCTCTCCACAAACGCCAGATGGCGCTGTGTTCGGTAGCTTTCACATGTGGTGTAAGGTAACCAAAGCTGCTGATTCCAAATGTCAAAAGAAACCAACCTTCCAAGCATTCTAAGTTATTTACCATGTGTTTGTATGTTAGGTGCCAGTTGTAAACCCTGGCATGTGTGCAGTTATATTTGAACTGTGCAATCTTTGGAAAGTGGGGCATTTGAAAACAGTATCAACTGTTTTTTTTTATTGTAAATCTAACCTTTAATAGACTTATTGATCAGGCTAGTGAGAAAATTATGTGCAGTTTTGTATTATTATTATTTTTTAAAACCTTTACAAAGAAAATCTGCATATGAACTACTGTCTGTTAAGTGTTTTGTTGGATTCCTCCTAATGAGGATATTAGCATATGAAGTAGCAAAGTAGGGCTAATCTGAGAGTTAAAGCATTTGCATCTATATTAGCCTTTTGTCCAAAACTACTGACATGCTAGTTACATGTTCATTGCGAAATGTCAAAGTTTTGTAAATACAGTACACTTTATCAAATTAACTCAGAATTTTCCTATTTGTGTGCATAATATATGTGTGTGTATTGTGTATATTTATTATGCTTATATAAATACACACAGTCATGTACATATTTCAGAAAAAAATTGGTTATGTTTATATATTAAATATATTTATATATATAAATTATATGAATATAATTATATACATGTAAATATTTTTTTATAGGATTTTATACTCATTTTTGAATTTTATAATTATTCGCTCTTTTCTATAATTTCAGCTTTTCCACTTTTTGTTGGGACCATTGTATATGTTTTGGCCAATTTGTTTTTTTAATAACGGTCAGTACAAAAATATTCATTTGATGATATGATGTATGTTTTTTGAGTGGATCACACAGGTCACAAAAGGGCAGCAATAGTTCTAGACTGTGCTGCTGTCCGTAGCAAAGTGAACTCAAGCAGTCCCTAATGGCCCTGTAGTCTCGCTGTCATTGGCGCTCAACTCGGAGAGCTTGTGCTAAGGAAATGTGTCACCAAATGTCTCACATTCTTAGTATCAGTTAGTGGCAGAATCTGGTCTCTGGTTACCTCTGCCTGGGGTAGGGGACATAGGTGCAGGCTCAGCAGCGGGCCCCTCTAGCACAACCACCTCCCCCTCTTCACTTGCTGTTTTAACATCACAGCCCTGCTCTTTAGCCACCTGAGCCCTTAGCATACAACAACTGGGCCTGACAGAGCACTGTTTATTTAGCCAGGCCGAAACATTGAATGCCTTCCCCGATGGACTGCCTTCTCCTGTTTGTGTGATGAGTGTAGGATGTGTTCGTTTTAATTAGAGTTTATCATCTACACACTGTCTACATATGTCGTCTATACACAAAAGTGTAGAAACAATAATTGGAAAGTTTTTTCTCCTGGTGATTATGTTGTCAAAAGAAGCTGACACTCAATTTAATAACATAGTTTTCTGCGATATGTCATTTGAACCGCAGTATAAGCCAGGCTCAGACATTCCTCATGGGATCTGATAGTGGCACGGACTGTTCTGTTACGTATGCATGTCTGCAGTAACAGCTCCTCCTCTCAGAGACCAACACGAGGACAGCACAACAAAAATATTCTTATCTAAATGTAGCTTTCTTGTAGTGTTCTAGCTGGTTGCTAGGGCATTGATAGAATAAGTTTGACATTGATTTCAATAAGATAATAAACTGGGGTTTGTGAAGGAACTGCAGGTCTTTCATGAGTTTAATGAAAAGCTAATAATAAAATAAAAAATGTAAAAAAAATACAATAAACATTCGTTTTAAATGTAAAATATGCAAAATAAGAATGAGGGAAAACCAATAAATGATGAAGAATTGATTGCTATTGTGTGAATAATATGTAATCATGTAATCAATAAAAAAGTAACTGTAGTCTGTTTACAAGTATTTTCAAATGTAATATAATCTAATTACAAGTTCTTAATTTTTGGAATCTGATTACCTAATGCCATTAGGCCACTACCCAGCACTCTATAAAGACGGACGGATAGATAGATTATTTTCCATATTTTAGAATAATAACCCTGCTCAGCCTAATCTGGTTTAAGATGGTCTCTCAGACTGGCAAACTGGTTTGCTTATATGCTACTTATTATATTGTACTATATTATACATTGGGCGTTTTAGCATATTTATTCATTTAATAGACACGCAATTAGTTTGTTAAAAATAAGTCAAATTAGAAACTCTTGTTTTTCAGACGCAAATTCAGGAACTTGAATGAAAACGGCCCCTGTGTCTAAAGTAAAAAACGGATGTGGCTCTCAAAACGGAGAACAAAGTGAAATTCCGTGCACTTTCCCCCCTCCTCTTTGGTGGTTGACCTGAGCTCAATGCGAGGATTTAACCCATCCTCTACACCTCGCTGGTCCGAGCAGTGATTCATGTCTTTTCCCCGATCATTTCGGCACGTCACTGAGTCCTTCCCACAAAGTTGGGAAACAGCGGAGCGTCCGTGGAAGCGAGCGGACACATGAGAGCCGCGTCTGGAAGGTAAGATCAGCCCTTCTCTATAGAAGCGACTATGTAGTATATATGAGCTTTACTTAGAGTCATTGACGTGGTCGAGCTAAGAGAGGTTTCCGAACGAGTGATAAACGCCAGAAACTTGTTCATTGAATCAAAATAACTTCCGCTTCCTGCACGATAACGCTCGCGCCGCATTAAATCATTGGCGAGGAGAACAGCAAACGTGTTTGTACCGTTATACAAACACAGACTAGCGTTGTTTGCATGAGGTTTAATTTAGCTTGTTTTTATTACTGTAGAAACGGACAGCTGGTTTGCTTATTAGGAAGTTTAACGTTAAAAGCTTGACTCATTTAAACTCTCAAACTTTTTGTAGCCTATTCTGCGTTTCCATTATATTTGTATGGGGTGCCAAGTGCCAGGGTGGCATCGACTGTTTAACAATTAGAGTCGATTAATATTTTTTTTCCCAACTGAAGCATTTCTAAAGCTGTAAACATTTGATGAAACCCCCGCTGTTTTGACACATGGCTGTGGGGGAGGTAAATACTTAAGTATTTTGAGACTTTGTTTAGTCTATGCTTCATGTTTTGGCTGTGTCTCAGAAAATAGCGAGCTGCCTGCCTAGACAGCGTTTTTGGGCGTCATAGGCATATTTCGGTGTATTAAAGAGCGTTTCAAGCTCTAAACGAGCATCTCTTTTATAGTCTCGCGTTTAAGTTCCTAAAATCGGCCCGAGAGATTCTGAACGAACAGACTCATTGAACCAGGAACCGTCTTTAGACTCGCAGAGTTCCGTGTTAACAACTCGCCGACTCATCGAACCGAGAACCGTCTTATTCGAATATATTCGACTCAGAAGGATCCTGGTTAACAACTCTCTATTGCTATAGAAATTGATAATAATAAACAACAACATGTACATTTGGCTTTATTGGAACGTTTTAAGCATGTAGTGTAGTAGGCTATACCACTATAATAATATAAAAGAATCGCTGAATTGTTTGAGTCAGTTAGATTAGTCAGCACCTGGAAAGAGGATTTAGGGAATGTCTATATTAGTACCAAATGCAAGATACTGAACAAACATGTTATGTTGCATGTTGGTTCAGATGTTCATATTTTCAAACGGAATGAACTGAAGCTACAAAGGTGGTGGTTATATTTGGTCACATTTCCATCTACCAGCACAGTTATTATGAGTCACTGCTGACAGCTAGGCAATATTTATGGGGAGTCTAGACAAGTATTTATTTATAGCAGTCTCTCTTGACATTGTTTGCCTGAAACTATTTAATAAACAGAAAATGACACATTTGAAAGCTCATTTCTCTGTGGGAGAGTGGAGTGTGCCTCTGCTATGTTTCTTTTATACCAGACAGATTTTTTCCCCATTAAGTTTAGCTGAGCATAAAGATGCTTTAGGGCTTGAGATGCAGCACTAACACAGCTCATCTGCTACTTCCGTAAGAAATGTTCCTCAACCGAAATTCCCTTGCCAGGCCAGCTGTACTCAGCTCGACTAATACTACACAACAGCGGATCAGATCACGCAACCTGCAGAGCCTCTTAAGCCTCTCAAGGTGTTTTGTTTTCTTAATTACACATGCTCCTCTTTCAGTCCTCTAGAGTCTAGACTGTAGACTATACTGAAGCACCTTTACCACTGTGCAAGAGAACACATTTTGGTTGAAAGTTAAATGGTGATGATCTGATTTATTTGAGTCACTTTTACATTTTACTACTTTGCATAATAACAACAACAATAATAATTGTAGTTATTTTAAGTTATATCTGCAGATATATAATAATAATAATAACAACGAACAATACTACTATTACTACTACTACTACTACTAATAATAATAATAATTATTATTATTATGAAAAGTTGTTTTGAAATCTAAATGACTGTAGGAGAAATAAATGTATGTTTATTTTTGTCTGAAACACATGGCCAAATAAACGATAATAATAATAATTAGTAATTATGTTATTTTATATTATATATGTTTATGTATGTATAATAAGCATTATTAATAATATAATGCAAAGCTGTTCTGCAATTTAAATGATTGTAAGAAAATGTAATACGTTTTTGTTGTCCGGAACTCATTGTCAAATAGTAAATAATAATAATAATACGTTGTTTTGCAATCTAAATAAAATAAAATAATATATAATAAATAATAATAAAATGTAGTAATAATAATAATTGTTGTTATTATTATTATTTATATTATTATTATTATTATTACTACTACTACTACTATACAGTTATTTTGTGGTTAATAATAATTAATAATAATAATGATAATAATAATAATGATAATAATATTAATTATTATTATTGTAAAAATTGTGAAAAGTTGTTTTGCAATCTAAATGACTAAGACATTTTTTTAAATGTAATAATGAAATAATAATAATAATAAATATTATTATTTGTTATTTTACATTATATGTTATATATTTTACATTATATATATTTATAATAATCATTATTAATTCTAATATTATAATGCTAAGTTTTCCTGACATTTAAATGATCCTAAGAAAAAAGAAATTAAAAATTTTGGTTTGAAACTCATGGCCAAACGTACTGCTTCAGAATATTTGTTGGTCCTTTTGCATATTGAGCTGTCCTCAGTATATCCAGTAAGTGTTCCAGTCATCCTGTAATATCTCAACAGATGAGAAGCAGTTGACTTCTGGAATTTAGCTAATTAAGCTGCTGTAACTCGCCTGGTAACTCAACTAGTTTTATAAACTCTTTTGGTGGAGCTCAAATTGTCGTTAAAAGACACAAATGCATTCCAGAAAGCCTCCCCTCGCCTCAAGGTCAGAGTTTACACCACTAACCTGTAATACAGAGTTATTGCCAGCTGGCTTAAGGTGAATGATGTCTCCATGTCTACACCAAAGGGCCAAGTTTGCAGGATTCGGATGTCCGCCAACCAGCTTTGGAAGTCACCTTCCATTCTCTTGGCTCAGTTTAT